CTACGAAACAACTAAGACCACACATTCTGGAATGAAACTAGATGTTCTAGTTTATCCGATTAAAAACCACAGGAAAATATTATGAACAGTACTGCGTTTACCTTTAGTATACACACACAAACTGCAGCTCCACTGACAGAGTTTCCAAATGACCATGTGAAGCCCTAAAAATTAGTTTCAATGCTTCTTTAAATTATTTGTGACTCAAACTCTAAGGAGTCCTTAGAGGACCCATGCTTTCCCATTACACCTTAGCTACACAATTAAACATTGTTAAAATGAGATCTTTCTCTATTTCTGTTTGGATTTTCTGCATAACAGCATATAAGGATCTGCATACAGGATTGCACATGTGTATCAAGACACTGGCATTGTATTTTAGATCCTTAATATACTGATTTAAACTGTATTTTTTTACTTAAATAGGAAACAAACTTTATACAAAGTGAACTGAAACTACTGCAGCACTTCAACATTACAAAGCCAAAACCATATTTTAACTTCTAGCAACAAAAATCCTTTTACATCCACACAAGTTCTCACATTTAAAACTATGTTAAACAGAGAATAACATTTCGAGCTAGCCATGTGTTCTGCTCAGTTATTACTGGAATGTAGTTTACCAATTGACTCTGTATTAGCTATTTTCAAAAATTAATTTCAGAATTCAAACAGCTGCCAATTTAATGTGAAGAATGTAAATAGTTTTTCAGAGGTGATAAATGGACTTCTGATGATTAGAAGTAGCAAGAACAAAAAATATTAGTAAACTAGCAAATTCTATTTAAAGCAAGAAAACAGTCCTTGATCAAACAGAAAAATACAGGAGAGAACTTCAGTAACTTTTCTGCCTGTCTACAGATTTTTATCCAGTGTTGTCTAATACAGACTATTAGAACTAGTATTTTACCATATAAATTAAACATTAAATAGATAACAGTTAGCTTCGTAGAAAACAAAAGATAGCAGCAGGATCTCTAAATTCTAAAGGGTGGAAGCCAGAAAATTAATGTGGTTTGTTAACATGTGAATGTGACAAGCAGGACACAAAGATGATTATTTGCCATTAGCTACTCAATGTCCACTGGGTACAGTCCTAAACTGATGCATTCCCTTCCTAGCACATGTGTAAAGCCTTACAACTATCAATGGGAAACTGCTAGAGACCAAAGAGAACGTTACCCTTCTTCAATCCCCGGCAGATCAGTGAGGGATCAGGATCTTAACACCTGCAGTTAACTAAATGACTTCCGTATAAAAGCACAGGGATCACTCTGTCATGGAAATTTTAAGCCGCAGAGTAATACTATGTAATGTCAGAGACTAAAAAGGTAATGAATGCTGAAACGTCTAGATAATGCAATTTTAGGCACTACCTGAGGAAATGATGTCGTTTTCTCAGCACATATCCTTTGCGTATCCCTGTCATGAAATTATAGAAATCAGTTAAATGTGCCTCAGTTGTGTCTACAGAAGTGTTCAACTACTGGAAACTTAAGAGGTCCGGTTACTACCAAACAATTTTACGCCACTGTTCGTGGCAAGCATTTTAAAAAAAGATAAGCTACAATGTCAATGGAGAGCGTGCAAGATTTCAACAGTGGTCTGTGGTTGTTGGAGGAAAGCCAACATTCAGAACTTCATCTAGGTCTTTCAAATCAAATGAAGCATTGTTAAGAGCTGGTGATACAATCCTAGCCGACAGCACCTCCAGACTGATGTTACAGGCTTCACGGTAGAACACCAAAGGTATCCTTCTGTGCCCAAGAGGGAATATTTTCCAAATGATCAAATTCAAGTAAAACCAAAGCAAATGTTCTTTGAAGGAAAGCCCATGGGATCAACTCGTTACCAACAATCTAACACTTGCGCCAATTAATGGAAAATAAACTACTTTTTGTGAGTGTCTAAAGCCACCATCCAATGACATGTAAATGACTGCACAGTATTTGTACACTTTCAAGCAATTAGTTCAAAACACTTCCCTGTAAGCATTTTTTAAAAAAATACAGTCCCCACTGTAAAATTTACTTCTGGGATCTCTAAAGCATTTTAAAAACAGGTAAGCCATCTTTGGTAAGCAAATTGCAAATTCCAAAAATAAGGACTTGGGACTCAATCCTCGGAATCCTGGGTCAAATGCGTATTCGTTTCATGATAAGAAATAAGGCTCTAACAAAACACACAACCTCTTTGGCACCTTCAGAGATAGCACTTAACGTAAAAAAAGATTTGCCATGTAAAAATTTTCATGAAAATTAATTATTGTTCGGATGTGACGGGATTTCTGTAATACTTACATTTACGTATTGTAAAATATAAAAAAAAATCAAACAGAAACAACTGGACAGATGTTTTCAGTGGTACAGACAGACTCAGAAACACGACAACCCACAGCGCATGTGTATGTTCCTGTCAAAAACAGGCTGAGATCCCTATGCATCCAGCAAACTGTGTATCTTTTTTTGACGCTTATTTGCAAAACAATCCCCCACAGAACGTTGTGTGTGGGTTTATGTAATCCAGAAACTAAACCTGAAGTTTTCCCTTTAATGAAAGTATGCTCATTTTCAACCTATGTTAGTAACCAAAGTTTATACAGTAGGCTGTGTATCAGAAATCACAATTTTGTCCTGTAACAGAATTTTTATAAAGAAAGGAGATGCAGGATAAAATCATGGTTTCATGTGTTTTTTACCTGTCCAAACTACAGAATTTCATCCTCTTTCTTCATAAAAGGAATGGTATTTTAACTTAGGCATTTTCAGGCAAATGTTACAAGTTAAAAGGAACACATCCTCCACCTGACAGGTATGTTAGCAAAGTAGATAGCTAAAAGTCTGGTTTACAGAATATGTAGAAGGTGGTGGTGTAAGAACTTTGATCTTCCATTCTGTAATCTTTGGTGGGATGAAAATGGGGACTTCCTGCATATCAAGGTTTCAGACTCACAGATGAATGATCTGAAAAATTCCTTCTCACAGAATGTGACCTTGATTCCTAAAGAGAGGGAAAAATGCTGTGTTGGAACACACTTTGAAATGAAAAAAACATTTACTGCATTAATAATGCTTCAGTGAAAAGTGACAGTACATTTCGATATTGTGTCAGGAAGATACACTTAGCTGAAGAAGGAAAATCAGATTTCCATTACATACAGAAGTGAAGTTACTAAGTTACTACTGGCAAGAAGTCTCTTCCTTTATTTAGAAGTGTGGAATCTCAGAATTAGTTCAGGATTAATTTACTTAAAAAAATAAATTAAGTTTTGCTTATTGATCATACAATCTTAAAGTACGTCAAGTTACTAAAGCCAATGTATCCTCTTTTTAACTAGATAGGGAAAATTTATTTTTACAGTATGTTATAGTGCACAACTATTTAACTCTTTTTTTTTTACTTTTGCATTCTCTGTAATGTAGATCAGAGCAATGCATTAATATAAGAATTTATAATAATGCTTATATCATTTTTTTTGGTAGCTAAAACTCCTATTTATAAAACTTGAGCTGAATAACCAATACCTGTCCTATTTATAAACTAACAAATAGGGGATGGCCTGCCATTAAGTAATGTGTCAGTGGATGCCACTAACTGCTGACAAAAGGATGGCAAGATCCAGAAAACAGCCTTCTAGCTGCTGGCAAGATCAGCTTTTAGAATACTTGTACTGTTCAATTTATTCCTCCTAAGATCCAATTCTCTTACAGTCTCCCTTTGTACCTCAGCTGCTCTGTACCCTTTCTGTGGAACAACTCCCACCTGTTTTACTCTCTTTACTTAAGCAATCTGAGTCCTTTCTCCCTATTCCATATGACAGACTGAAACTATCTTTGTTTTCTATAACCATATCTTCTTAACTCAGATGTTTTCAGCACTCCAACTTTGCTGTTGTTGTTAAACTTACTCATCTTTTCATTCTCCCTTCTGGCTTTGCCAGTTTCGTAACACAACCACCTGTAGTTCCTATATGCCTATCAGGATATTCAATCCACTTGAATCTCAAGATTTCAGTTTCTTTCCACCATATTCTAGCTCTACATCATGTTTTATGTTCACTGCTTTCTCTAGATCTCTTTCATGGCCACCTAGTACCAGTCTCCCTGCCCACTTTTGCTTTCATTAAATCAACCTTACAATCTATTTTTCTCTTTCTTTAGTTCTGACTCTTATTAGGAGTTTCTCCTCTCTACTGCACAGTCCCAACAGAAAAGTAAAGAATTATGCTCAGCTTCACACTGGAAAACTTGTAATGTTTTTTTAAAAGCCACATCTGTGGATAAGTCACACAGACAAGAAGTCACAGCTTGACAAATAGCAAGCAAATCACTGCACTATTTAAAAGCTATCAAATAAGAAATGGACACAAACCCTAACATGTGTAAAACATATATTCTTCCCTACCTTCATTTTATTCAAATACTGGTATTTTTTAAGAAGTGCAAGCAACTAAAAGCAGCACCTTTTTCACAATAAAAAGCGTGGCTGTCAGCATATAACTTGATGAATACAGACTACTGCAAATCACACAAAGTAGGGAGAAAAGGGGAGAAGGTTGAGTTGTCAAAGGAATTAAAACAGTTTCAGAAATAAAAATCATACATTGAAGTGCTGAAGATTTCCCTCTCTGTTGAAGGAAAATAACACAAACACACACAGAACTTGGGAAGTTGAACTAGAAAAAGTAATAATGGAATTAATATATACATAATTATCCCAGGAATGAACGACATGGATTACACAGAGTTCGTTTTACGTAAGAGAATTATTAGGAAATGTACAAACATCCAGGAAGCAGCTAAATAATACTGGAGACTATGCTAAATTCTGACCATGTCTTATTATTTACCAATTTGCAGACAGCAAGCATTGCAGTGAAGTGACTGACCTCAAGTTTCACAACAGGCAGCTGCTAGCTGGTATGTTGATGATGGTCAGAGCCACATGGGAAGGACTGGACAAGAAAATCAGTACATGTAGACTAGAGCTCCCCAAATGGTTTAGTAGTAAATACTCCATAGTGTCTGTCAAGAGAGAGAACATACAGATCAGAGAAAGAAAAAAACCCCATGAAACTGGAACAAGAACAATGAGAACAAACTATTAGAGAAAAAGAGAAGACTGTAAAGAGAACATAGAAGGAAACAATGTGAGAAAAACCATGCCATCAGCACCTTTATGTTAATATAAAATTAACAAATACAGTTTTGGTGACCTTTAACATACCCCTTTTATAGGCAATAGACCTTACAACAGCTGGCGACAAGCCTCTTGTTAATCCTATGATGACAACTGGAAGCTTAGATTCATATTTCTGAGACTAAGTAAACAAAAGGTTTATTCTCTCAATTTCATTGCATGTATAAATAAAAAAAATAAAAAAATAAAAAACAATAAAATAAATTAAAAACACCTATACAGAAAGTGTTGTAATGTTTAATTGTTTGTTCCCAATGGAATATCATACAATAGCACAGGTATTAGTGTAAAACTACTATACTTCTTGTGAAATGATTGCACCAAGACTTCCCCTCATAAAACCCACAACTAATATATACATACATGTATAAACCCATGTGTATTTGTGTATCATACACACACATTTTACCTTATTACTCTTAACTGCAGAGAGAAATGAAGTGCTCTGTGTTCAGTTAAATTTATAGAACATTCACTGCTAGAAGACCAAGGTGTTAGCATCATTCACCATCACGTATGGAGCATGATGCATTTACAGATAAACTGTGTTACAAATGAATACCCTAAATTCTGTTTGGACAAAGGCAGATCCTCCTCTGCCTTTTCAGTTAGAAGCAATATAATTACTGCCAATATATTGTATACTGGAAATGCTCAAGCAAGGAACATTTGACCTTTTTTGAAAACATTTTCTTATAGTAAGTAGAAAATTCAGGGTTGTTTCTTTTTCTTTTTTTTTAACAGAAAAATGTTGTGTGGAATGAAGAATAATGTACTGACGAAAACCAAACACACAAACAAATCTGAAAGCTAGGATACATTTTTATCATTGATAGGTTCTTGTTTGAAAACTCAGTTAATAGGGTATTCAAAAAAAAAAAACCAAACCAACAAAACCCCCTGAAAATATTTACCATCTTTTGATTCTTCTGTGCCTTTCCAGAATATTTTCTGGAGAAAAGGGTAGGGTTAAAAGAAGTACAATAGCTCTGCAATCCAGTCGAGTGTATAGCACTTCTAGGTCCCATGAACTGGATTAAGGAAGACTGTCAGACTTCCTCAGCTAAAACTAGTCTACTGCAGGGACACGAGTGAAGAGTTTAGATAATGCTAGACTTTCCTGCTCCTGAAGCTAAGTGTCCAAGCTCAAATAAAAAAGAACACCTCCTCCCCTCCCCCCAAGGGCCTGATAAGTCTCCTACAGCAAAAGACAGTATATGATCCCATACTGTTCATGTCAGCCAAAACATTCTGGTGGAATACAGACCATGGGAAACACTCTGAGATTAGAAGCACGCCTGACCCCTGAGACAGGTATACTGCCGCTGGAAGAGATCACCGAGAAGAATAAAAAACCCAAAAGCGTGAAACAAAACAAACGTCGCCCACCTACCCACCTCCATGTGCCAGAACATTTTAAACCTTAGCTCAGTTTACGTAGTCTGCAACTGTGCTGCTCAGCTCTCAAGACCTCACTGGTCTCCCTCATATACACACCTAATCTCCAATAAACATTTTACCAGGCCAGTGCTTTCAGAACTCAGGATAACCATCCAGCAAAACAATAATTTAATTCACAGGTATTTCATTCTGGTCTGAAACCAGAGAACATGAATTTCAATCTCCCCTCAAGTTTCTGTTGTCAATGTGGTAAGATCTGTGTAGTCTACCAAACACAATCTCATACCTGTCCTCTAGGAGCATTCAAGCATTAATCTATTTATTAGTGGTCGATTTAAGATCTGAAACACTGCACAAGACCCAACAGAGATAAAAACCCCTCACATTTCCTAAAAAAAAACAAAACAAACAAGTGTTGCCTAGCAGCCTTTGAGAATGAATGTCAACCTTATTCATTTGTACAGATGTGAAGATGAAATCACTTCCACGTACTCATGAACAAAATATGCTATAATCCTCAGAAGAGAACACGTTCAAGTAAATACAAAGGATCACTAGCAAACACGATCAAGAGGAGGGTATTAGTATTTTTCATTCAAACCTGATCTTAAACACCAAATTTGGATCTAAAAAATAAACTGTAGTTGGAAATTGGGGAATGCTGTGTTCTAGATTTTGTTTAAGACTTTAAAAATTTTGCACTAAGAGTTACATCAACAAAACAATAAGTAAGTGGTAGACAGAATGAAAAATAAGTTCGAGAATTGCCAAAACTGAAGCTTCCTTTGTTAACTACTAAATGGTTAATGAACTGACTTATCTTTTTATACATCTACAACAGCAATGGAAACACTGGTTTAGAAATCTGTGATTTTCTTCAATAAAGACTTCATTCATTTTGTTTGCTAACCATTGTGACTTCATGAAAATATGACTGTAATGCATGCTTTGTTTTGAGCTGCATTTGAAAGCTGTAAGAAGTCTACAACTTTTAAAAATACCTGGATGCTGGCTGTACCCATCCTACTCTTACCATATGACTTAGAGCTCCTTCTATAAAACATGTTTATTCCTCAGGCAATTCCTAATGCAGTGGATGCAATTAGCAAATTACCTCCAAAGTAAGGTCCTTATTTTAGGCATCTGCTCTCTCTTACACAGCCACTACTTTGCAATTCTTCAGCACCAGATACATTCGCTGTGATATTTTAACAAGACTACAACCAGCAGGTGGTATTTTTATGCAGCTGGGGAGCAGGTGGTAATGACACAACCACTTGCTTAACACATAGCAGTCTGCTGCTAACATTTGCTTTTTTCCATTATTGTTGAGTGCTCAGCCACAGTGACAGACACAATACAAACCTATTCATTCCACATGGAATATACTCACTTAAATTAAAACTTTAAGGGGGTATGTGAAAAGGTAAGGTGAAATGTGAAAGGAAGAATTATATCCAGAATGACTAGTTACTACAAAACAAAGCTAACTAAATAAGTAAAAATTAACAGAATTCAGCAAGTCTTTGTAAGGGTTCAACTACAGCTGTGAATCTACTTGAGACCTGAACAGAGCAGTTTCAATTATGGGTAACAGAATGCTTCTGAGAAAACACGTAAGAATGAGCAAAAAACAGTGAAGGAATGGACAGGATTAGCAATTTCATGCTCACTTCCATCAAGTTTAAGTCTGCACTACTACCACCAGTCTTACTTCCTCTATCCTATCCCAAACATCTCGTATAGGTACAAGAGTTGGTGCAGTTGCTTGAGAAACAGGTCTGAGGAACTGATCCAAATTTAAGTCAGTTCTTTTTGGGTGGTAGGAGTGGCACTTCATCTTTAACTGTATTCGTTCCCTGACCTGGTTTACCACGTTGCCTCACAAAAACCTCTAAGAGCCCAGGGTATGGGTGGTGTGGAAAACAGAATGAATTGGTGGGTTTTGCCAGCTTTGGCTGTGTGTGAAATAACTTCTAAAGCCATGAATAAACATAGAAAATCGGGATGTCAAGAGATTTATTAAATATGAGTCTGAATTTGCAGCTCACTTTCTATGCCACAGTAACCAAAAATGATCTTACCACGCATGCACATATTCTGTAAATTAACATTATTGCTATCACAGAGTAAACTACTTTGCTTTGCTATAAGGTAAAGCATGGTACTGTGGCAATTACTGTAGAGAAAGAAGAGCTACTATTTGCTAATGCAAAGTAAGTTACAAGGTAGATCTCTCTCATACATAGAGCCTTGTTCCTAGGAAAGATATTAGAAGTCAAGTTTCAAGGTGAAAAAGCTTGTTTCTTTCTTTGATACAGTAAGTATTCACTTGTTTGCAATTCTAAGACTACATTTTTTGTTTTCATACAATGTTAGAAAATGGAAAATTAACTGCGTATTATGATCACTGTGTTGTACCAACTCTCAAGCATTTTGTAAAAATATTAATCACTCGGGGTTAATATTCTCAAATTCATGTTCAGTCTCTTCTATTACTGGAGTAGTTGCAAAGTATTCCAAGACAATGTTTGATGTTACAGTCCCCTCTACTGGAAATATTTAGTAGATATTGTTACACAATCATCTGGAAAACAGATTTTTCTCTTAAAATAAATGAAAAATAAATGAAAAGACATAAAAGACAGCCTATAACATCTTCAATTCATTCACATTTAGTCTGTCAATTGTAGTTGAGTAAGCATCTTTCATAGAAGTGCTACAATATCAAGTAAACCTACCAATAACTTTAGTCCTTCATTATCAGGCAAATCTATGCTAAATCCAGTTTAGAAATAATTTCACATGTTGTGTTAACAACCTTCTTAATTTAGGCAAAAGGACCTTAAGCTGGGAGCCAAAACATCCCAACAACTTGTGTCAGGTGACACGGAAGTATCCCATTTCAGAATGGCCATTCAAAATCAGAACTGCAAAGAAAACACTCATAGGTAGCCAACTGAGACAGTTTTCCATGCTCTGTGTTCCAAAAACCCACCACATGAGGTGCTTATCTAAGGCTGCAAAAAATTAATTCAACTTCAGGATTCAGAGACATAAAAATACAAAAGAAAACTGCAAACGAAAAAATGTATCTCCAATTTTAAAATAAGTAGACATGTTTTGTGGTTTAGTTGTTTCGTGGTTTTTGTTGTTGTTGGTTTTGTTTGGTGGGGTTTGTGGGTTTTTCTGTGGTGTGGGTTTTTTTATTTATTTATTTATTTTCCTTCCCCGCTCCCCCTTCCATCCCAGTTTCCCCAAACAGTTCCAAACTAAGTAGTACCTGTGCCCTCTGGAACAAAGCCTCAGGTAAACAGACAATACCTTCTTCTCTGCAACATGTGTTTTCCTTATTTATTAGTATATTAATAAAAGACGTTTTCATCCCTGCCCCTCCTCCCTTACCGAAAGGGCAGTAAGACCACTGTGTTTACTTTAACTCAGTTTGATACTTACAGGTGCAGGCATGGTCACGGCACTCTGGGTGTAAGGCTGGTGATATGGTGCTTGAAGTCCATGATCAGAATACAGCTGGTATTTAAAAAAAAAACAAAACAGAAAACCTTGTTTCATAGTTTTATGTTTTTGCAAACTTTTCACACGAATTTAAATTCCTTAAAACTTCAAATTGTGGGCTATATTTATCTAAACTACTGACTTCTTAAATACCCAAAATTTCAGTATTTAAATCTATTTTCCCCCACTGTACTAAAGCTCAGTAAATTTAGTTTATCTAGATCAGCATCAAAAAGCACTTCATTTGACAGAAGTATCATGCTTTCCTATTACAAATCTGTTTCACTCAGCTCTAATTGGAACAGTGTTTAAGTGCTGATTAGCACACTGAAATGCATTCCCAGCATTATGCACTTACAAGGTATTTACATACAAATACACAGGCTTTTCTTTGAATTTTACCCCATCTTCTGAATTTCCACATACTGTTTCCTTTAACATCAACAAATCATGCACCTGTGAACTGAGAGCATGTTACATCCAACCATTCCTTAACTAATTTCATGTTTTTTTCTTAGTGGTCACAGAGTTCAAATTTCTCTGTATAAGTTTATATCTAATTTATGAAATACGAAACACTGATGATAAGATTTACAATTATACAATAAATACCAATATTTATACAGTTTGGAAAAAAAAAAGAAGAAAAAACCCAACAAAAAAGTCTTGTATTATTCAAGACGTTTTTAAGAAAATTAAATTACTGAGTTATGCCAGGACTTCTGGCTTTAGATGTTTGAAATACCAGTTCTGGAATTTCTCTTGTAGCAATAAGATACTTTTCAACTTCTGTAAAAATACTTGATTACTGTCCTAATTTACCATTTATTTTGGCATCCCTGTTAATGAGGAATGAATTATCAAAGAGGAAGAAGTACCAATTAATGATAATACATTTTCAATTTTACAGTAAGTTCTTCTGTGGCCAATTATTTACTGTCACTTTAAATATCCAATTACAAAGAAATGGCCTTACTGTATATTAAGAATCTCTTAAAAAACATTAGAAATGCTATTGATATAGAAAAAAACTGTAAACAAAAAAAAGAAATATTTAGCCATTCAACTACTCTTAATTCATTCTGATCTCCAGAATATTTAGAAAAAAGCTTCTACTCACAGAGAAAAAAATTAAGAAACTTATGGCTTGCATAGACCAATACACCATTCTGAAGAGTCTGACTCTCATTTTATTTAAATGATATCAAACAAAACAAATTGACTAGTCCTTATACTGCTGTGCCATACACTTGTGACTGAAGTATTTCAGAATCAAAGCATCCTCCTAGAAGACTGCAAGAGATACTCTAGAGGACAACGGAAATGATTTAACAGCAGCAGCATGGGTGTGAGGGTAAGTACAGGGAAGAGTGGACATTAAGTGCTCTGAACTGCCTGTGTTTAAACGAAAAGATTATGTTTTCCAATTGCAAATATATGCTTCAATTTTAGGTTTTTCTTTTACAAAAATACCTCAGGAACTGCAGCTTCCACTAGGAGAGGAGTAGGTACACATCCACTTTCCTGGGTAATCCCTATCGGCTGATAAACTACTTCAGATTGTGGCAGATACAAAACCGAAGGTGAAGAGGCAGGAGACTGAAATAAAACACACCATTTTAATAAATTATATTGTTTATGCACTATAAATACCAAAGCTTATTTTAAAGTCTTTGCTACACATAAACAAAGATAAAGCTTTAAGAGAAAGTGTCGGTTTCACCTTTGATACCCTAAAGAAACTAAGTGAGGAAGAAGTGAATACGAGAAAGGTCAGGTAGTAAGATTAAAAACAACAACAAAAAAAAAAAAGATGTCCTTTCATCACTTCTCGATATTATTCAGGTTTTCTTTATACCTTGGAGAGCATTGTTAGAGAACTTCTGAAATTTATAAAACTGACACTCTCAAGATCACAGAAACATAACACAGTTTAATTTTCTCTTGTAAAAATGTTACAATAAAAAGAAGTATTTTTGTTTTAAAATAAAATAAAATCCTTAGTATTTTTGTAATTCAGCACCCAGATTTCAAAGCAGCAGACTAACATCTACTAACACAGTGGAACTCACCATAACTGGACAAGACTGACTGCTACCAAAGTAATGAGGACACACTGTAACAGTTCAAGCTTAAGGGGCCTGGACCTGCTTTTAGTTTCAAACTCTTCAATTCCTTGAGTGGCAACACTTGCATATTAAGCTCCTCTGTTACAGAGATCACAAACTCAAACTCAATAAACTCTCCCTCCAAAATGACGAAGTTAGCAATTTCAAGTTCTGCCTCCTGTTTCAAGGGTCTGGGTCCAATTTCACCATGCATCTGTGTCTACATGCCTCTGCTAGCAACACTCCAACGAAACACCACAGTTAGTACCAGTTAATGACCTACTTAATATTAATTTCACCTACCAGGCAAAATATGACAGTTTTTACCTGCTTTTGAGAACCTATTAGATAATTTAATACAAACTTATTGCCAGAGGGGGAGAGGAAGGGAAGATGCTTTCTTTACATCAGATTTATATTTCATGTTTCAGCAAATGCTATTTTATGCCTTCTATTGTATCAGCAATATGATTGCTAAAATACAGCAATTAATATTTATTTCAGCAGTATTGTGAACAGTGGGAAATGTCACTGTTAGATAAGCACACCATACCTTTAAACTGGATGCAAACTAATGGTAAAATGCTGCAACTATTTACCTGTTGAACAGACCACTGCCACTGACTTGGAAGACACTGTGTTGGTGCCTAAATTCAAACAAAAAAAGACATTACTTCTGGTATTAAGAACATATGCATACACATACTAGAATTCCCAACACACTAGAATCAAAACTACCTCAAATCTGTAATAAATTCTTAATTAACAAGAAATAAGATCTCCGTAAGCCCCCAAAATAATTCAGGAACTGTTTTGTCTACTTCCACTCCGAGTCTGACTTGGACATTTCATAAACTTCTAAAATACTGAAGCATCTAAGAAACACATCTCATTAGGAAAACAGAAGATACAAAATTCAATTAACTTTTCAATACACATTAAAAACAGACATACTGCATAAATCCAGTAGCAGGCCACCAAGACCATCAGGGGACTGGAGAACAGATATACCGGGATGCTCAGAGAATTGCATTTGTTCAGCCTTGAGGAGGATAAAGGTTGGAGTGGGTAATTATTGCTGGCTACAACTGCCTAAGGCAGGGTAAGGCATAAATGACTGAGCCAGATTCTCATTAGAGGCATTCAGAGCACAATGGTTAACAGACACAGGCCAGAACATTGAAAGAGTAAACCAGCTATAAGCAAAAAAGTCTTTTACCATGAGAAGGGTCAAATATTAGAAGAGACTATCCAGAAAGGCTGTACAATCTCATCACTGGAGATACTGAAAATACAACTGGACAAGTTCCTGAGAAACCCAATCTAACCAGCCCTGCTTGAAACAGGAGCTTGGCTTAGGTGATAAAAGTTAGGGATGATGCTAAGCCAGTTGTCCAGCAACATCAAAAAGAAAATATCCTTTCATTTATTACATTTCCATGTAGTTACATGGGCAGAATAAACAGCATTCTAGTGAAAAAAAAGGCTTTGATAAAATTAAAGACTATTTTATATGACTACTTTAAACAGTCTTTTTATTTCCTAAGAATAAACAGACCTGAGACACTGCTGTAAATAAAACTGCATGGCTGAAAATAATACTGATAGTCTGAAACTAGCTTTCAAACAGATACCTGATAATGGTATGTAGGAGATTGACAAATCAGCTGAGCTGCCATCACAGGTGAACTGGAAACAGAGCACGACTTAAAAAGAAAAAAGTTACAAATTTCAATACAGCAATTTCATAAATTGTCACTGCTAATAAGAATAGTTCTGAAGTACTGTAATGCTGAACCACCCCCCCTTCCTTTTGAAAATGGATTTACCAAATTTTAACTTACACTTCAATTCTTCAAAAACACTGTTTCTAAGGGCCTACATTAGGGACAAAACAAAAATCTTTGGCAGAATGTACTAGGCCATCACTATCTAGAGATATCATCCACTATCTATGTTTTAATAACCACTTTGGGCAATCTAAGTTGTCACTGATGCATTCCTACCCTTGCCACAGCCCTGACCCAATCTTCCCTTTTCCATTCCCTTCCTCACACCAGCCCCAACATTCATCTGATTTAGCAGTGAGCCAGCTTAGGGAGTTAAACGAGCTAGAAACCTGCTTGGGTTTTGTTCGGATCTAGTTGAGAGTCAGAAGTACACCACTGAAAGAAAGAGGTACAGAACACAGGAAATCTGGGGAGGGTCTTTTCACAAGGGGAGGCAGAACGAGGGGGAATGGTTTTGAACTGGAAGAGGGCAGATTTAGACTGCATATTGGAAAGAAATTCTTCACTGTGAGGGTGGTGAGACACTGGCACAGGTTGCCAGTAACACCTCATGGAGGAATAATAAATGGAGCCAATCAATCAAGGCTCATAAGCACCAACAGCTTCTTAGTGAAACAAAACTTCTCCTAGGTAGGGCCTACACTGACTAGCCTGTTCAATAGGTCACAGTAAAGCAAAAGTTCCCTGCAGAAGCACAATAAACTTAAGTAATATCTGAAAAACAAAACAGACTAATATAAGGAAGCCATCTAAACATCACACACAAGGCACAGCCAAAGAAACTGAAAGCAAGACTTGAAAACACTGCACTCATCCTGGTCCATAGGAAGGTATACATACAAAAATAATTACTTACTGTCCATGGCTGCAGAACAGAAGTAACCTCAGATGTATGAAAATAAGCCATTCCATTATGGTAAATGTAAGGATATCCACTTGAAGTAGTTAAGTACATTGTACCAGCTTCTGGTATTACAGTAGGACCTGGAATTAATATTTTAAAGTTTACTTACCAGTAGGTCTTAACTTTAGATGTGTAGGTCACACACAAACAAGAAGAAAATATCATTTCAGATCTTCAGAAAAGCGAAACACTCAAAGGAAAGAACACAGGGCAGCATGCCTAGTGTCATCTCCATTCCCTCTCAAACACAAAATCATGAAAGGAGATGGTTACAGGACACCTCCAGAGCACATGGAAAAAGGTGCAGAAGGTGACACGCATATAAATTACTAAACACATAACTTCAGTTACCAGTAAATATATATAAATTTTAATCTTCAGATGTCCAAAGATAATGTCACATAGTAGGAGATTTTCATTGGTAACCTCCACATGTTCATATTTAGCTGAAACAGGATCCAAGCACTAAAAACAACAGAATGGTTTCATTACAAGGTGCAGTCTGGTTTCTGAACACACAAAGACTGTGTCTCTGTGATGGCACACTGCCTGGCAGGACTAAAAACTGCTATCAAGATGTCAGCAACAGGGACACTTCTCAGCAATATTGCTGCTACAGTGCAGGCTATGAATGAGCATGGTCTGATCCCAAAGCAAAGCAGAGTTCCAGCTACACAGCTCTCTGACAGGTACTGACGGCAAGCACTATGCAAATAAAGGTCTATCCCTATGCAGAGGTTGTTTATCCTTTCCAAACACTGCCTTTGAGATCACATTCCTGACACACAGCCTTTACTGAAGTGTAACAAAACAGCATGCTCCGCTATGACAAAACTGACACATCTTGCCTTAAAGGTTAGGCGATTAAAACCTACATTTTCAGTAGTGTATTACAGAAATAAATAAAATAGCCCCTGGCAGACTGGGAGGGCACCTTCTCTAGAAAACCTGTCATCTGTCTCCTTGCTCAAGATAAAGAAGTCATCTGACAAAAAAAACCCTTATCAATACCCCTCTTATGTGAGTGTTCAGTCCAATTAGCTCTTTGGCAGAGAAGGAACATGTAGCATTCCACTCCACCATGTTACAGTAAAGAACTCTTAAGAGCTGAATGGTGACTACAGCCACCTATTCTTTATGGTTTCTACAAAAGCAAGCAAGACACCATAATCCTGATGGACTGTGCTAATGAAAAAAAAAATGGTATCAACCCTAACAACTAGCACAGCCTGCTTTATCCTGTAGAGTCCATGAGGACAGTTTAAGTGTTTAGATCTGAGGTTCTGCCTTGCAACTGAGAAATTTCTATTCAGTTTGTTCCTGGATAATCCTTTCCAAGAAAGAAAGAAAGAGAAAAAAGAAAGAAAGTAAACAACATATTAAGTGACATAAAAGAACCAAAGACCAATTCTGACATTTCCACCAGCATGTGTTTACTTCCACTGCAAACCATTCTGAGCATATTCCATGTACACCATTAATGCAGTGCACGACCAGGCACATCTTGGTTAAAAACTTACATTCGTATTGACACACTTTCATAATATACAAATGTAAATAAAATACATACAAGGATTCCGTATTTGTTGTTTCCTTATTGCTGGACCAATATTTAATTTCTTATCCTTATAATTAATCTTTTTAGCCTAGAATTAAAGAAAAAAAAGACATTCAGTATGTTTATTTTCTGCACATATCTAGGCATTCAAGAAACAAAAGTCAGAAGCAGATAAGGAACAAGATGCCCAGGGAGGCTGTGGAGTCTCCTTCTCTGGAGACATTCAAAACCCACCTGGACTTGTTCCTGTGTGACCCAGTCCAGGTGATCCTGCTCTAGCAGTGGGGTTGGACTGGATGATCTTTTGAGGTCCCTTCTAGCTCCTAAGATTCTGTTCTGTGAAGGCACTTAGTAGATTTCACCTTCCCCTGCTTTTTCACTTACAGTGCATCTCAAAAAACCCAAAAGCTATGTACTAATTCCTTTTCTATCCTGGAGTTCACATATGCAAAATTAATCATTGGTAATTTCAAGAATTACTTACTCCTCATGGAGCCTTTTGAGTAAGAGCTGATACCAATTTCAAGTACAAAGGTTTTTTTTTTCCATGATCATGACATTATTTCACAAAAGATGAAAGGAACAAGTAAGTCTAAAAAAATGGCCAGAGATTATAAAGACTGAACGCACACAGGCAATAGGAAGATGATTATTCCCAATGCATTGTATTTCACTGATGTGATTAATCAGAATTTAGACTTTTTTTATATACAACCTTCACAGTTAAGAGAAATATCTAATCTGCATGGACTTCTTCAAAGTATTTAATACAGCACTGCATGAAAAATTACACTTTATGCTACAGAAAGTGAAGACTAAGAGGAAAAATTGTGGTGAATAAAAAACTACTTCAGAAAGATCGTAAAAGGCAGCATTAGTAGTAATAGCATATGACCAGAAAGAGGATCCTGGTGAAACTCCAAGGTTTTTCTCCATACTAATGCAATTTAATACCTTTGAAGACTAACACAGAAAAAGACATTTCTGGAGACATTACTCATTATAGAAAAGTAGGATGTAAAAAAAACCAAAAAACCAGAGCAAATGATATGATCAGAATATCATATGAGAAGAAATTAAAGCATACAAAAAAAATAATTCATGTAACACATAAATTATCAAAGCCTAGAAACTCACAGCTTAATATGTCTGAGAAAAACCTAGATACAAATTGTTCTTAAGATGAATATGAAATACCAGGATTCATCAGACAAAAAATGTGATAGAATTGTAGGACCTCTAAATTAAAGCACTAATGGTAAACAAAAAAGTATTAGTACCATTCAGTAAGACACCCGTAAGACTTCACATGGAGCAGCTTTTCAGTTCCAACAGAGGCAAAAATACTAAGCTGTTTTCACAGTAGTGCTCAGTACCATTAGTGTTCTTCTAGTTCACAGAAACAAAACAATTAAAAACAACAACAGGGGGAAGAAAGGTAGCTGACTCAAGAAGCTCCTGTCTGTATACTCTTGGCTCCACGTATTTTTTGAAAACGCTCTGAAAATATATTTGAAAATGTCCCAGCTCTTATTTTGAATTTTAACACGTGAATTTCCAACGAAGACTCAGTATTTCAACAGTTTAACCAACTTTATATTTGGGAGAAGGCAATCTGCAAGCCTTGGATACTATCTTCTGTTTGGGTTTTTTTTTGTGGTTTGTTTGGGTTCTTTTTCCCCTGCACCCAGATACCGTCATATATATGACTAGATCCTGACCAAAAGATCTCTCCAATACATTCCAAACAGAACACAGAGCACAAATTTAAAACACAATACAAAACAAACTGAAGAGCTAACACAGAGCTGAAGAGCTAACTGTGTCTCCAGGGAGGTTCTACAAGGAGCACGAAGACAGTAATGTAGCTAAGAGGAGAAGCAAAAATTACATGAGAAAAAATGAACTTCACTGTTTAAGAACTTCAGGTGACTCTAACTATTTCTGAAAAGAATTACATCAGTCCTGACAATCAAACATGTGAGAATAAAAGACAACAGTTATCTTTCCCAGCTCCCCACAAAATCTTGACAGCAATGGACTTTCTAGTAAAGCAGATGAAAGCAATTGTGAAGGACAGAGTCTTTATAGCTCTGTATGTACTACAGACCACATACAGACTACGAAAGTAAAAACCACATGTCAAAGTGAAGAGCTGTACTATGAACTGGCAACTCTGTTCCCTAGTTCCAGAAGATGTCAGTATAAATCTTATCTTAGATCTCTCTAAGCCATCTTAACTATGCAGACCAAACTTCACTTCAACTGTAAGATGACCAGAAAACCAGAATTAACTTAAGTGTCCACTATGAAATTAAGTAGTGTATTTAAGAGACAATCATAATGGGTATTACCACTTACCTCCTGTAAGATCTTCTGTGCATCTTCTTGGGTTTCAAAAGTAATGAAGCCATACCTATATAAAAAACCACTGGAACTAAGCCTCTGAAGTTCATATTTACAAACTTTGCACATTATTACTTGATATATAGTGCAAGTGACATTAAAAAATAAACTAATGGGAAAGAAAAGTCAATCGTAGAAATAAAGACTGCAGTAACAACCGAAATCTTAATTTCATCCTTGTTATAATCTACTTCTAATACATTTAAGTTCATGGTTATATATTATTCTTTTTATACGGTGAATGAGTAGCTCATCTAGAAAGCTACACAAAACTCTCTTGTGTTGTCATTGTTAACTCAGTGTACATCTTCAGTTTCTTCATTTCTATTAAAGATGCTGATCTGAAGCTCTTACTCGTTATGGGTGCTCAAGATAAGACAATTGAGATGTTATTCTGTTATACCACAATCCACGACACAGTTCTCACTACTTCAGCGAGAACTGTAAATGCACCAGACTTCCACAAGCGCTATCCACTGTCTTCATTCTTAGGCTCCTTTCCACACTGGCTTTCAGTAGTAGAAATACACATATGTTTAATAACTAAATTACCTTTTTAGGATTATCTACTTAAATTATTATCATCGTAAAAGATCTGAACGGGCTATTGATTTTGTCCTAGTTGCACACAGCTTCACCTTATAATAACATGACAACAGAGTTTTACAGTTATGCAAATAACAAAGATATTTACATGTAGACGTTGAAGGGCATGAACAGATTTTTGCATACATGGAATAACTGGGAACATCAATGACATAAAATTAGTACTATTTCGAGCTATGAAAATCATAATCAAATTTACTATAGTCAGTCAGCTTTCTGTTATATTTTCAATTTCCACAACATGCTTATTCTACTATACCAACCCCTTTGATACTCCAGTTCTGTCATTTACTATCTTCACTTCTTTCACACTGCCATACTGAGCAAAAAACTTCCTCAGATCACCTTCATTAGTCTAGTACAGTAAATCAAGAGGAGGGAAAAAAGAAGAAAAAATGGTTTGCATAGTTATTCAACTAATATTTACCACAAGAATTCATGGATATACTTTGGATAAAGTTTGCTACAAACTAATTATAACCCTGGACATGAAGGGAGAAGAATATGCATGTATGAGCCTCACTGTTCCTGTTTGTTTCCTGCATTTTCATATTCAGCAATAATACTAGAAAGCCACTAAAATAGTAATAAAACTACTCTTTTAGTGGATTTCTGTAAGAACTATCCTTTTACAGGTAGGACCATTGAAGCAAGTTTATTTGATCTGAATTTTAGTTTCTGTAAATTATATACTAGAGTGCTGTTTACAATATGAAACATTACTGCAATGCTTTCAAACTTCAAAACAGCAAAGTACACAGGCTTCCATAAAGGGTATGTATAGGTCACAAAAAAAAATCCTCACTAAACCACAGTGACTTAATGGTCAAATCCATCTAATATACCATGATCCCTCTTCCTAGAGTATATTTAATATTAGACTCTGCAAGTATATATAGACATACCATAGGAACTCCCCATTATCCCATTATCACCATTCCTGGATGTATTTAAAAAGTGGGAAGATGAGGTAATTAAGGATGTGGTTTAGTGGGTAGACAGGAATGGTTGGACATGACGATCTCAGAGGTCTTTTCCAACCGAGTGATTCTGTGATTATAAATTAAGAAGAGGCCTTTTTAATGGAGAATGGTCTAAATGCACTTGGAAGAAACTGTTCCCTTCTGAGCATGCATGGAGAAAGACTAGTTCCCAATGTAAAGGCACAGCTAAGCTATGTGAACACTTGTCTGCCTTCTATGATTCCGTTTTCTTTTACTATGTAAGCGAATATCAAATAATGCTTACCACCACATTTTGGATTTTAAAGTTCTGTCCTGCACGGTTCTTAGCTAACACCATACCTAATGCTGGAAAAAGTACGCTTATATCTCTGTATGTTTCAAGCAATTTCCTTATTCATCTGTACTTTTTGTTATTTTAAAGAAGTGTTTCAGAAGTACTATTTTATCTCTAGGTAAATGACTTCTATTGTTTTTAACTGCACATATACAATTTAGCAAATCCTCTCCTGCCCATCAAAGCTTTTCTGCCTCATCCAAGTTTGAGAAGAAAAAAACAACTTAAAAGAAACAAAAACTAATTTAAACCCCTTTCATAATTGGAAGGATTACGAAATTAATGCTTTTTTTGAGTAATTCTATCATCAAGGCACACTTTACAAAAGAAATAATGCAGCTTGCTTGCTACAACCTCCAAGTCCAGCAGAGAGAAATGATGGTAGAAGACTGCTTTCCCTCCTTCACTAATCCAAGCATTTAGGCATTAAAACATTAGAAAATACCCAGTCACTCTGAAAGTGTGAGAGGTAGCAACAGACACATGTGCACTGAACAGGCAAGAAACACTGCAATGTTTTAATAAAGCTCAGTAACTGTGTCTTCTCCTTGGAAGCTGCCTGCACTGGCTGTTGAGAAACCACTCACATTTGCTGTGTTTGCAATCTCTAACGCTGTGTTTACAGCTTATTAAATTACACTGTTATGTACAAAAACTTCTGCACACTTTTCTACCATAAGCTCTGCTGATTACAAAAGCCATATCCTTTGAAAAGAGAAAATTCTGAAAATGTCAAAAGCTTCTAGCAGCTAGGTGTACAAGGAACTTTGTAGTACAGTTATGTAAATCCAGGCTTAAAGCTTCATTCTTTACTGTCGATTTGAACTTTATAGTGAAGGAAGTTTATCGCCTAAACAAACAGATATACGATTATATATCACACTTTTTCTATTGATTTTTATAGTGTTATAAATTATCATTTAGTAGTAAAATGAGGAAAGGAATACCTTAAAATCAATTCCTCCTACAAAGATGCTATTTGGAGTAACTGTTCCAACCCTTGGAGCACTGGTCAGACGACCTAAACGCACTGGTGACACAGTGTTGGGAGACGAAGATAAAGATTCTGTTTGCATCTGATTTGTTGTCTGCCGATTGAAAGAACATATTTTCAAACATTTAAACTGTGTAACATGCAATATAGCTTATGTAATAGCTTATAAGCTATTAAATAAAACAATTCTCATCAGCAAATACATACAGAATTTTTGGGAGGCACAGCAAATGCTGAACAACTGATGCCTCATTTTCATTCATAATGCAGCTCAAAGTATTTAAACGTAAATTTAGTTTTAAGTAATTCTGTAACTTAGTGAATACACTCCAGCCTGAAGTTCAACATATATTTTAATATCTTTCCAAATTAGGCATTTGGGGCCTAATCCCCCAATCTTAGTTTTTCTGTTTGCACAGCACCCCGCTGTATGAATCCCAAATTTGAAATTAATCTCTAAAATATAAACCATATCTATTAGAAGCCCCTTAGTTTACACCTATATAGAAAGGGTCTTTTCAACTCAACCTGCACTCTCATATACATCTACAAAGGTCTGTTCTCTGCAACAGCTTCTGCTTGATTTCCCAAGTATTGAGCACCCATAATTCTACGACACAAAATCAGCAAGTTCATTACAACTGACGAGAACAGCACTTGAAGACCAGTCTTTGAATTCAACACTCCCTTGGCCTACAAACACAGCGCACAGCAATCCTGACAGAAATTCTCCCTGCAGAAGATTGCTCTTGCCCCAGGTAAAGGAAGAGAACACAGCACAGTGGGAACTTCATGGAAACCATTATTTAGTGAAATCTGCCTGATGCTCTAACTTCCACCATGCTTACACCTGCCAACTGTGAAACACTACAGACTTACATCTCATTGGAAAACCTTCTCAGAACAAACAAATACCGCCTTACATAATCAGTCCTAACTGCGAGATGGTCCCTGTAAAGGAGCCTAATAGTACTGCTACTAACTTCTCTAATAACAATTGTAGTAGAGGCTTCAGGGCCATTTTTGCTGTATTTTTGGTTGTGGTTTGTTTTGGGTGTTTCTTTTGTGGGTTTTTGTTCCCCCCCACTTAAGTTTACTAAAACCAATCCCAGGCTATAGTGCCCTGACAGTACCACTAACAAACGAGCCCAAAGTGAAGGGCAAGCAGCTGCCACAGGCTGTAGATAACAAGACTAATAGTAAGCAGGGCAGTACAGAAGGAATCCAGGAGTCTAAGCCTCCAACCTTTCTTTTGAAAAGATTTCAAGATTTTTTTTTTCCTTACCATTATGCAACTCTTAAAATTTGTAAGGAAGACAACAAAATACATGTAAGCGTATTTTAAAAATGGAAAGTTACTGCATCTAGTACAGAGTTCTTTTGCTTTTTGTGGTATCCATATATTTTAACTTCTCAAAAACCAGAGCAGAAAATGAAGTGCTCTTAAACAGTTCTCACAGAATTCCCCCTTTCATTTACATTTTCTGTTTTAATTCTGATTGTGTCTCTCTCTCTTACTCACAGTACAGTATTTTGTCCACATGGACAGCATTTTCTTATCTCTGCCTTTAAGCATTCTTGGCTAAAAACCAGATCACTTACCTTTGAGAGAACACACAAACAATGAAGGCTGACAGTTAAAAGCAGAGGGAGAAATGGATAATCAGTAATGAAGAACATTAGGAAAAAAAATAGGGTTTTTTTCCCCAGAAGCCCTTCTAGGATTATTTTATATTTCCTTAGCTACTTGAGAATTAGTCCCATTAATTCCAAGTAATGGATTAATGTCATTGTGTTGGAGATCTTAAAGACCATAAATTCAGCTTAGTCCATGCCTTTTTAGTTTTAGAGAAAAAAAGTCTTTTCCAGATTTACTAAAACATACACACTTGAGGCAGAGGAAAAACCCAAGTCTTTAATCTGATCTATTCAGGAGAAAGTATGGATTCCTTCTACTGGGAATACTACTCTAGAGTAGTAAGTAACCTGAAAAAAACGAAAACCAACTAACACTTTCAGGCAAGGAGCAATCGTAAGTGCTGCTGTCCCAAAGGCTTTATAAGGAGAAATGTTTTCTGCAGGGAACCACTTCTGAAGGTCGATGAAACAGGCTACTTCTTTCATCTCTAACATCAAATACAATATTCTACTTGTGCAATCATCTGGCAATTGTGTACGGTGCTACAATACCTAAATTTAACTATAAAGTAAGGATTAACAGTTGAGACCACAGCCAAAATGCATTCCTCCATTCAAAAATCTCTAATTTCCATTTTCTTCACACAAGTTTAAAGAGCTGTAAAGTCTTATTAAAAAAAACACAACAAAACAAAAAACAAACCCAGGAAAAATCCAACAAACCCCAAATGGAAGAAATGAGGAATTAAACAGACCACTTGTGAACTTCCACTACAGTAAACCCCGATGAATTTTAAAACATTAAAATCTGTATTCTGATAGCCATCTCAAGCATTCCTCTCTAATGCCAGTGTAGCAGGAAGAAAACAGTATTAAAATACAGCTATACATACTAATAGCATGTTATTTGTCTGATAATCTGTATTTCTACAAGTTTTTTAACTTCCTTTTTCCAAACAGCATAGATGTGCATGTTCATCAGTATTTTATGGGTTATTTAGTGTGTCTGACAATCGCTCTTTACCAGAATTGATAAATTTTCATTTTTGTGTTGAACACATCCACAGACAACCAAACACGACAGCCTAGTGATTAATCCCATCTAAACAACCCCCTTTTCACAGTCAGTATCTTATGAAGTCAGAAATTAGACACCCATCCTTCCCTGGTGTCAGACACCACCGCAAACCCGAGGCGCGGGGAAACTTTTATCAGCACTTGAAGGCTCCCCAGAGCGCCCCAGAGGAAATGGCGGCCCCCCGCGGGG